TGATCCAACCAATTCATTAATTTCAGAGTGAAGTCAAGAGGCTTTCCCAACTTGACAGACAAATAGGGGTGCATGTTACCTGCAAAACCTAACTTTGTCTAAGTTGAGAATAGCACTTTTTAAAGCCAGATAATGTTCTTCCATCAGCACTACTTCAAGTTAGGTACAATAAAAGGCTCAGAGCAGAATGCATTTGTCCATGTGGCAATAAGGAAGTTGAAACTACCTTACACATATTATTGTGTTGTAAATGTTATAGGTGTCAAAGCAAGAATATACAATATTAACAGCGTTAATATGCAGAACTGTCTGGTATTTTTAGAGTTTTTTTCTGAACAAAAGACTTCCTTTCTCACAGAAATGACAATTGACAAAACCCAGAAAGCTCTGGAGCTGTTTGCGAGTCTTTGGGGGCTGCCATTCGTTTATAGCTTTCACCTTGGCTGGATCCATTTCAATACCCTCGTTGGAAATTCTGTAGCCAAGATAGTCTGTTTGGGTTTGGTGAAATTCACATTTCGACAATTTGGCATAAAGCTTGGCATTCAATGGTTTCTGTAACACTTCTCTCACCAGCTTTATGTGATCAGTCATATTCATGCTGTATATCAGGATGTCATCAAGATACACCAAAACCCCTTTGTACAAGTGATCATGTAGGACCTCATTAATCAACTGCATGAATACAGCTGGGGCCCCCTGTAGTCCAAATGGCATGACTTTAAACTGATAGCCCCCCATAGGACACTTGAAGGCAGTTTTCCACTCGTTGCCCCCTTTTATTCTCACCCGGTGTTTCATTAGCCGGAACCATGACATCAGGGACATAATATATATTTCACCCCTATATCACACTTTTCTATGCCCAGTTAATACTTGCCAGTTCTTTAGGCCGCCGCTTCTGATCAACCATATCCAACAAAGGAAATGCTTTCCTAATGTCTTCAATGGTGAGAATATGCTGAAATCCCAAGCTATGTCGGATGGTCAAGGAATAGCATTTTTTTTTCTCCAAAGAAAAATGATCACAACCCATCCTCGAAGTTACAACCATTGCACCACCCATGCAGTCTTATGATTGCAATTCAGGCACTTGGCAACCAACTCACATCTAGATGGTTGCAGCCTCTTCCGGTCATGTGATTGCAATCTGTGACCTTCCCAACTGGCTTCTGACAAGCAAAGTCACTTGGGGAAGCCAAATTTGCTTAACAACGGTGCGGTTTTACGTAACAGTGATAAAAACGGTCGTAAAATCAGCTCTGATCACATGATGATATACGTAAGAACTGCTTTATTAGCGACCAAAATTCTGGTCCTAACTGTGATCATAAATCAAGGACTATCTGTAACAGAATTTACTAACAGGAAATTCATACAATAGAGCCGTAATTGCAACTTTTTTTAAAGCCCATCATTCTGTTGCTGGAGAAACAAGAACAAATGAAGTTAATTGTGTGATTTGGGTCTCTCACTGTATCTCCACCAACCTACTTGTTTTTGTATGGAGAATAATAAGGGGAAATCTCCATGTCTGCTATCCTGAACTCTCCAAGGGAAAACAGGGTAGAAACAGAACAAATACTTGCAGTTGTACCTGTTATATAACAGTGTTTCTCAACATACAGCTAAGGAAATGGGAGGAAAAGGAACAGAATTTTTTTGGAAACAGAAAAGGATACTCCCTGGCATTCTGTTCCACAGGACCTTGTCCACACACGAGCACACACTTGTCATGGAGCTGATGGAAAAGTCGCAGTGGGCTATGGGAAAGGATTACCCATTCAGGAGATACCTGAAAAAGAAAGAGAAAGGACACGATACTAACCAACTTTTTATGTGACTGTTAAAAAGACTGCCATCATAGATAATTTGCCTAGTTAATGCCCAGATTATTTCCATCCCATTCTAAAGCGGATTGAAAAAGCCAGCTTCAAAACTGAAAGACGCCTAGATCCACCATTTTCACTGAAGGACAGATAACTCCAAGGCTAGGACCATTATAGAATTGGGCATCCTTA